CTTCCAACTGCGACCATTTGAGCAGACCCCAGAGAAGAGTATGGCCAGGCCAAGCACGTGTGAGTTCCCTCCTAGTGCTTTCATCCTCTGGCTGTGTTCAAACAGGGGACCTGTCAAGCCAGCTGGGACTGGGTGCGTGTGGGCGAGGACCGTTCTCCTGTCCTTCCCCACTTTGTTGTTGGCCTCCCGATCTCTCAGCTAAGGCACTACGTTACTGTCGAGTGTGATGGTATCTGCTTGAGCTGTAGGTACTCGTCCCTTGGGACCTGGTTTGGACTCTTCTTCTTTCTGGGTTAGGTGATGAAAACGGCTTCAACATTCCCACGGTAACGCTGTGCCCTGAAGTTGCCAAATACCTGGACTTGCCACTGGCTGCGCTGGCCCTGGAGCAACCTCGGGACATGGATGGAGTGGCCAAGCGCCTCTTCTGTGACGCCTACATGTACATGTACCAGAGCAAGAAGATGGCGCTTTACAAATGACACTGCCTTGGCCTGGTGCCACAGAACAGTGAGGCGTTGGAAACGTGAGCTTGGATCAACCCTGCAGCTCGTAATCGGTGAAAGCAGCCGAGTCTGGGCGCACCGAGCTTGCACCTCTGCCTCTTCTTACCTCTTCCAGTGTCTGGTATCAAGCTATCCATGTCAGGCTGTCTGGGTTTGTTAAATCCTGTACCTGGCCTTATCGAGTGATAGTTTGTAATTCCGGCAGACCTGGACTCTGAATTATTTACACTCAAATTCACTCTCATTTCCTACCTTCCCTTTCCACCCTCCTTCCTCCCCAGGCACTCTGCGGCTCTGCCCTACCTCAGAGTCCTCCCCAACATCCTCTTCTCCCTGCCAGCCCTTCCCTCCAAAATTGAGGACCAGCATCTAATCAAAACGTGAGCAGTTATCCTCAGGTTTGCAAATTGCACAAGAAAACCACAGCCTTGCCCTGCGTAAGACTTCCTCGCATGGACTTGTGGAGTGAGAAAACCAGGAGGTGTGAGCTGCACCGGTGTGGTTAAGAGATGGGAACAGGCCGAGGGTTCTTCCTTGAGGTCTGGGATGTGACCCCCCACCTAAAGCTGGGTCCCCGAATTGTCTGCGCTTCCCTTGTCCAGCGCTAATACTCTGGCACTTTTACCCACCATCCCTTATTTTCAACCATGAGATTAATTGGATGTCTTGAGCTTTAAAAATACGTATTTTTGTAAGAACAAAAGATGGAGCAGAGGAACAGCATGTGAGCTCGTTATGCTTCCTCTTTTTTGCAAAGTCTGCACTATTGCTACATGATCGGGTGTTTTGACCTCACTTTTAGCACTTACTGTCCCATCTTTGCATCCACTTCTGAGGTCCGTGCCAAAGACCAACAGCAGAATTCCAACGGCAAAAAAGGAAAAGATGAGCACTCTTGGATTTTCTGCCGGGACTGCAGTAAGGTTTAGGGTCTCTGGGTGAGAACTGGTACTCCTTAAGTTAAATAACTTAAATTTGCAAACTGGGGGTTTTCTGCCATTAAGCACATGCTGTCATGGCAGTGGGAAACTGTTACGGGAGTCAGTGCTATGAACTGGGTTGCCCAGATTCCAGATTGCACTGACAGGGCACCAAAACCTTGAGGGATGCATCCGGGAGCCCCAGACGTGCAGCTGTAATCTCCCTCCTCCTCTTTTTTTCCTCTTTAACGCAGGGTGCAGTAATCGTGATGTGCAGCCCGTAGCTTCGTATCGGTCCTGTTGGCTTGGGCCACGCGATACATGTGGTTTAGGATCTTTTTTTGCTGGGACCTCAACAGCTTGATGGCTGTATCGGCTTTCTGGTGTGTCTCTTGTTTCTGTATGTGGTGGCTACAAAGGACGGTTGGCGTGTAATGAACCCAGTTTGTTAACACACAGTTAATATCAATTCAGCTTCCAACTGTCCTTGCGGAGCAAGGGAGGGGATTCTTGCCCTCTCCTTCATTGGTAAGGCCACACCTGGAGTACTGGATCTGGTTTTGAGCTTCCCCCCTACAAGAGAGACGAAGAGAATCCAACAAAGGGCCACGAAGACGATGAAGGGACTGGAGCATCTCTCCTGGGAGGAAAGGCTGAGAGAGTTGGGACTGTTCAGCCTGGAGAAGAGAAGGCTCGGGGGGCACCTTATCAATGTCTATAAACACCTGAAGGGAGGGTGCAGAGAGGATGGTGCCGGGATCTTCTCCATGGTGCCCGGTGCCAGGACCAGAGGCCACGGGCACAAACTGAAACACGGGAGGTTCCCTCTGAACATCAAGAAACACTTCTTCACCGTGAGGGTGACAAGCCCTGGCACAGGTTGCCCAGAGAGGTGGGGGAGTCTCCATCCTTGGAGATACTCAAAATGCTCCTAGGCAAAGCCAAAGCACCAGTGGTGGAAGAGTCTGTTTAGGGGTAGGAGAGATGGGGGCGGATCTAGCAAGGGATCATCCTGAGGCTGGGTTTACCCTGCTCCTGCGTGTGAACTGACTCCCTGACCTCTGGCTGATCCTCTGGCCGTGGAGAGGGCTGAGGGGCTGAAGGATACCGCTGTCTTTGCCTACTTAAAAGTTGCTCTTCACTCCTTCTCTACTAAGAACTCAGGACATTCTCTATTCAGGTACGCTGCGGGGTTTGGGCTCTTATATCTCTGGTGCTTCTGCTCTTAAAAAAAAAAAAAAGTAAGCTTTAATAGCAACTTGCTCTTGATTTTCCTGGAGTTTCTTTTCCTCTCTTAAAATGCTAAGTGTGACGCAGTGCCCACAGCTGGAGCATTGCAACAGGGTGCTCCAGCATGTTGGGTTTTTTAGAAACAATTTTTTTTTCTTCAACATCTGCTGCAAAGCTCTAAATGGTGGCTGTTCCTCAGAGGGTGTGCAATGCAGGCAGAGGGTTGGTGCCTGGGAATGTGCAGGTGCATCTCGCTGGGGATTTCCCTCTTGCCCTGCCTCACTGGGTGGCTCAATTCCGGGTCTGTGCATTTTACAAGCTCAGGGGAAAGGATTTACTCTCTTCCTGTTACCAATTTGGGCAGGATTAGAGAAAATATGCGTGTCTTGGAGAAGAGTCAGTCTGTACAGGTTTTTCTTCCTTTCCATGCAACAACTTTTCATGTCCCTGTTTTGATAAAGCCTTGAAACAGTCATTGCCTGGGCACGAGACCTACCCCCAGTGGAGCTACAAAGGGGTTTGTGCTGGAATTAGGGTCACAGGATGCCACAAACTGGAGCTGTGAGGCACCTGCTTGCTGACCCTCATGGGTCAGCACTTGCTTTTTCATTCCAACTTTCTTCAGTCATAAACCGTGAAGTGAAGGACGTCGAATTAAACATTGAAGCTGAAGGCAACAAGTGTTTTGAAGGACCAGGGCAGCCACGCTGCGTGGCCGTAGCCGTCGTGGGTAAAGGCCTTTATTTTAGTTTTTTGCTTAAGATGAAGTTAAGGGCGGGGATTAGTGCCCCGTTTCCTCTGTGAACAGCAGGTGAGAGAGTGCAGGCGTCAACCTGGAGCCGGCCTCCACCCCCCCAGGGAATTGCATACAAAATAGAGATACAAATGTGGCCACAGAGCCGAAGCCTAGAATAGGAAGCGCAAAATACGTCTGCCACAGGTGTCCCCCAGGACAGGGGCTGGGGGACGGGCTGGCCCTTCCCATGGACCCCTTCTTGTGCACTCACGACTTGGTCTCTAGTGCCACTGAGGAGCTTCAGCATGGGCTGCCACCACTGAAGGTGCAGGGCTGGTAGGGCCACGGAGGCAGGCAGTGCTGCCACAGGGTTTGGCAGGATCACCAAGGCAGGACTGCCATGGCAGAAGGTGCAGGGCTGGCAGGGCCACCAAGGCGGACGGGGAAGGACCGTCACTTCCAGAGGACGCGGGGGCAGCTGCCTCCCAGCGCTGCCTGCCCCATCCCGCTGTGCCCAGCTTTGCTACTGCGACCCCAGGGAGCACTTCCAGTTCCTGCGGGGTCCTTGGATCAGCACCACACAGCAGCAACGTCAGAACCAGTAATTCCTAATTAGTCACCTGGTCTTCAAAAGAATGCGGAGGAAGAGCCGGCCCCAGGCAGGGGCTGTGCCTGGCATGGGCTGGCACAGGGTGGGGCGGGGACCCGGACCCGCTCACTGCCTTGGGGGGCCCGCCCGCAGCGCGGCGAGAAGGCGGTGCAGCCTCTCCGACACGGCCACCTGGCACGGGAGCGAGAGGGGACGGTGAGCATGCGCTCCCCAGAGGGGACTGCAGCCCCAGATCCACGCGCTGCTGCAGCTCCGCGGTGGAGCCACGCTGGTATGCTCAGGCCACCGGGGCCTGAGTGTGTACCGGCGGTGCCTGGCAAGTGGCGGACATACCGGGTAGGGCTGTGGTTCATGAAGGCGTCGGTGAGCAGGGTTGAGCAGGCTGAGGGATGCCTGCGCGTGGCTCTTCACCTCCGGCAGGCTGGGCAGCGGCTCACACATCTGTGGGAGGGAGATGCATGACCGTGTTCGTGCGGGGTGCTGGCTATCCAGCCCCAATCCCCAACGAGCCAGCTCCAGGCTGGACTCTGATGCCACCATATCCAGGGTGGCACCTGGGTTGTTGTGACAGGGGACATCTCCGATGGAAGGAAACGCTGGGGTTTAACCCTTTGATTCTGCCAAGACACCACCACCCTGGCTCGGTCCTTCACCCAACATGGTGAGGAGGACACCCCAGCACCAGAAGGCAGAGCCACCCCTGACCTGGCCATCTCTGAAGTACGTGCGATGGAGGGGCTCCACGGTGGTGGGCACGATCTTGCTGGCCTCGCCAAGCCTCCCCAGGACACGGACCACCAGCTCCTGCCCCGCACTGGGCGAGGGTTCCTCCTCCAGGGCCATGAGGTCCATGAAGGGGTGACCTGCAGGGATGCCAGGTTAGGGGGCCAGCAGGACACTGGGGACAGGGTTCTGGAGCAGGAGGGGAACACGGGTCAACGGGGCAGCACCATGGCCAGGGTGTCCCAGCTCACCAGCAGCGTCATAGAGCCGATAGATTGTCTTACTCCCTGGGATCGTCATCTTCTCCTCGTCTTCTGTGAGTTTCAGGCATGGGGAACCATTGACCTCCACCAGCTGTAGAAGGAGATGATGGGATGGGCACCTTATTTTTGTCACACGCACCAGCTCATGCCAGTGCTGGGGACCATGCTGTGCTCTGTCCCCTCTATGTGTGTCCCCACATGGTGGAGAGGCCACCGATACAAACTAGCTGAATAAATCATTAAAAAAAAAAAAACAAAACAACCTCAAACCACTCCGATGTTGGACATTCTGCCTCCTCCTGCCTGCAAGCTTCTCGTTACAGCAGTCTCATGACCATGACTTCCAAGAAAGAGGACATGGATGGCGGGACTGAGCGCGCCCTCAGCAAGTTTGCAGATAACACCAAGCTGAGCGGTGCAGTTGATTCCCCTGAGGGAAGGGATGCCATCCAGAGGGACCTGGACAGGCTGGAGGAGTGGGCCCATGCGAATCTTGTGAAGCTCAACAATGCCAAGTGCAAGGTCCTGCACCTGGGTCGGGGCAATCCCTGGTATCAATATAGATTGGGAGATGAAGGGATTGAGAGCAGCCCTGCAGAGGACTTGGGGGTACTGGTGGATGAAAAATTGGACATGAGCCGGCAATGTGTGCTCGCAGCCCAGAAGGCCAAGTGTATCCTGGGCTGCATCCAAAGCAGCGTGGCCAGCAGGGCGAGGGAAGGGATTCTGCCCCTCTGCTCCGCTCTGGAGACCCCACCTGGAGTACTGTGTCCAGTTCTGGAGCCCTCAGCATAAGAAAGACATGGACCTGTTGGAGCGGGTCCAGAGGAGGGATGTGGAAATGGTCTGAGGGCTGGAACAGCTCTGCTGTGAGGACAGGCTGGGAGAGTTGGGGTTGTTCAGCCTGGAGAACAGAGGGCCCCGGGGAGACCTTCTTGTGGCCTTTCAGTATGTAAAGGGGGCTTCTAAGAAAGATGGAGAGAGACTTTTTAGCAGGCCTGTAGCGACAGGACAAGGGGCAACGGTTTTAAACTGAAGGAGGGTAGGGTTAGACTGGACATAAGGAAGACATTCTTTACGATGAGGGTGGTGAGACACTGGCCCAGGTTGCCCAGAGAGGTGGTGGATGCCCCATCCCTGGAAACATTCAAGGTCAGGTTGGACGAGGCTCTGAGCAACCTGATCTAGTTGAAGATGTCCCTGCCCACGGCAGGGGGGTTGGACTAGATGATCTTCAAAGGTCCCTTCCAACCCAAACCATTCTGTGATTTGATGATGTTGGCCTCGCAGCAGCGTCCCTTAGGGCCGGAGCCCCCTTTGCTACTTGGCCCCAGCTGGGCGAAGCCCGGGAGAAGCCAGGGAGCCCCATACCCCACAAGCCAAGCAGGGCAGAGAGCTGCCACCCCTACCTTGTAAATGCAGCCCAGTGATGGCTGCAGGGGACATGTCACCAGGTTCGTCCCGACGCCGATCATGTCAATCTCGCTCCCCTGGTGCAGCAGAGAAGACAGCGGCCATCAACAGCCCAGCCCTGCCACTGGTTTTTAAGCCCATGCCAAAACCAGAGCCATGGGGCAGGTCAGAGGACGCTCTGCCTGAAGGTGCCCAGTGTCTGTCTGTCTGTCGCACGCAAAAGCCTTTTTTTTTCCAGCCTAGAAACTCTTCTCTGTTCTCACCCAGGGAGAATGTCCCAGGTGACTCTCATGTCCATCCCACGCACCCCAAACTTCAGTGGCGCCAGCGAAAGCCAAGGTGACGTCCCAGCCCTGACAGCAGCTACCTCACCTCCCGGCTGAACTCCTCCAGGCTCTGCTCGCTGATGTCGTTGCTGACAGCGATGGGGATGGTCTCAAACCAGGGCACCTGGAAGCTGGAGAGGGGCGGGGGAGTGAGCAAGGGTTTGGGGGGAACCCCTGGCTCTGCTCGCAGCACCCCCCTGAGCAGCAAGGGCTCCCGCCCTGGCAGGACGAGGTGCTGGGTGCCCAAGGTGGGGAAGCCGGGGACTGGTTGCAGCCAACCCAGGCTTGGCGGAGGACTCACTGAGCACCGCAGGCTCGGAGCACTCGGCGGACCTCCTTGGACTGCTGGGCCAGGTCCCCGCTGTCCAGGCGCACCCCGATGGCCTGGTACCCCAGCTGGTGCAGGGCCAGTGCCACGGCACAGAAGTTTGGCAAGCCACTCCTGGCATGGGCGAGGAGAGGCTTAGTGTCCCTTGCCTGGTGGGACAGGGACCCAGGGCAGGTCCAGCAGCGGGCCCATACCCTGCATCACGCAACAGCGAAACACGGGGATGCTGCCACGTGGAAACGTCCCTCCTTCAAGGCCACTGAGCGAGGAGAGACACGTCCATCCCCTCTGCCATGGTGGCAAAGCCGTGGCGGGACCCAGTGTCCTCACCTCCTGACGCAGTACGTGTCCAGCAGCCCCTGGAAGTTCCGCGGGAAGGTGACGGCGTAGGACGTGAAGGCGGCCAGCTCACCCCGGTTCGCCTTCTCAGGGGGGGTCTGCAGCAGCTCACACACCCGCTGCAGCCACGACTCAGCCAGGGCCGGGAGATCCACTGGCTCTCCTCCTGCCAGCGGTGGCAGCTTCTGCCCAGGGGACACGGGCATTGCACACTTTGTGGCATCCTCCACAGCGCCAGGAGCGCAGCCACGGACAGAGCATCCCATCCCCATCCCCTGCCCACAGCAACGCTCACCCGGAGCTGCACCTCCTCCAGCGAGGTGAAAGACATGATGAAGGAGTGGGCGATGGTGCCGCACACCGGGATACCGTAGAGCTTCCCTGCCAGGACGTTACTGGTGTAGTCGAAGCCTGCAAGGAGAGATGGGGAGGGGGACATAGGTGACGGCGTGGCCGCGGTGCCGTGGGGCGCCACGGGGCAGCACTCACCCCCGATGTAGGAGTACTTGGAGGCTGAGAGGGCACCATCCGGCCCCTGAGCACGACGGAGCCCCATCTCCACCAGCTTCACGTCCGGGCCAGCAAGGAGTCGGAAGCGAGCGGCGTTCGTGGCTACCAGGCTGGGGGAGGAAGGGACAGGCCACACCAAGCCAGGCTGAGCGTGGAGCCAGCGCACAGCCGAGGGCAGGGGGGCTCCGGGACCCTCTCTGCTCGACCGCAGCCGATGCGACGGGAGACGGCAGGGACCGCTGCAGGACTTTGAGGGTTTGGCACAGCAGAGACAGACGTGGTCCCCAGCAGCTGGGGGACCAGAGCGGGACATGTCCCTACCTGGCGTAGTTGACCAGGCACAGCAATGTGGTCTCCAGCAGCTGCACCACCAGCAGTGGCCCCTTCACCTGCAGGAACGGGACCTGCGGGGACAGCTGGGCAGTGACGTTCCCATCCTCCCCGCGGACGTGGGAGCCAACAGGCCCCAAAGCCCCTCTGAAGCAGGGGGGGGTACTGAGTGCATCCCACCCTGGCGAAGACGACAGAGCCCTCCGGCACAGCAGAGACGGTCACCTCCGAGGTGTCCAGGGTGGCCAGGTAATCGAAGAAGGCGTCCTCCGTGGTGCTGGGCAGGACGGAGCGCAGGTAGGCGACGTCTGCAGGGACAGAGCTCAGCGGGAACCGGGGGGGGTGGTCCCCGGAGCCACAGACCCATGGCACAGGTCAGGCTGGAGGGAGTGAAACCCCCCCATGCCAGGGGCAGGTGACAGCTCGCGGGCAGGGGCGTCCCCAGCCCTTGGAAGGCACCACAGCCCCCCAAGTCCCCTCTGAGGGAACACATGGGAGCACTGTCCTCCTGGAGGGTGTCCCAGTGTCCCCCAAGTTTCCCTGAGGGCTGTCGATGTCCATCCCCCCCCTGCCATGTCCCCCTGAAGGGTGCCCCTGTCCCCCAGGTCCCTCTGAGGGATGTCCCTGTTCCCTGAGGTGTCCCACTCTCCCGCTAAGGGATGTCCTTGTTCCCGCTGAAAAGTCCCCCTGTCCCTCAGGTCCCTCTGAGGGATGTCCCTGTCTCCCCCAGGTCCCTCTGTGGGCTGTCCCTGTTCCCCGCCCCCCCCCC